CCTCCTAAAAGATCCTAAAAGAGATGATGAAGAACGTAAGACGGTAACATGTTTGTTCGGATTCTACACAGCCACCGACGGCCTTTGAAGGAGCCTATCGTCTCCGAACCAATCTCGCACGTGGTTCCGACGGCACGAAAGAGGGGGTACCTCCCACTCATCAACTTACATGGGAGACCACCAACGTCATCAACGTCAGGCTTGTGCAGGGTTCCTTGGCTGGTGACGATTGGAGTTTTAAATGTTTGATCCTTGTTTGTTGGAGTTGCAATTAAGCTGTATAAGCGTGCAGATTGTCAGAATTAGCAGTGTAGCAAGCGATACCTTCAAGGAATTACTATGTAATACAGACCATATCTCTGAAGCCACATTTTTGCAGCTTACATCCAACCACTCTCCAACATTGCGCCTCGAACTCCGTTCGGCAGACCTCCGTTCGACCGCTTTCGGCAGGACCTTCGCAGGTGAGGAAGCTGCAGCTTCTGTCTCAGCTGAGTCAAGCTTTCGAAGCCTCGGCTCGGCTGAGTCAGTCCTCCCTTTTAGCCGCGTTTTGAAACGCGACACGACACACCAAACGCGTGATGGTCGCGTGATGATAGTCGCGCCGGATGTGACTCATCAGTCTTCGGATGGGGCGGCAGCCGGTGTTAGTGATTTGGTGTCAAGCTCCATGTGTTGGGTAGGTTCAGGTGTGTTTGGTGCGGTCTTTTGTGTTTCCCGAGGAATTCGGTTTTAAACCCACTGCTATATGTCAGAATCGGCCATCCCATAATGGTCCTCTAGCAAGTCCAAGGCTGATTTCTCTAAAAGGTTGAACTGGCCAGCAGGCAGACTGACATATGAAGTGACCGCTTCGATAGCAGTTGGCCCTAGGCTACTAGACATGAAGTTTGATGGAATGATGTTGGAGGATAGACAGGTTGCAGACATCCTTGGATTCTGACCTTGCGGCATTGGATCGACAGGTGGTTGGCCACCGGTTGTTTGGTTTCCTTTTTACCAGGTAGGGGATGTTTGGGAATTGATATGGTGAACAAAAACTCTCCCGACATCTACCAGGACCCCGCAAGGGGTGTCTGTTTATAGCCCCTTAGCAGTTAAAGTGAATGGGTTTTCCATGGTTTTCCATTAACCACCCTTTGGGCCTTTGGGGGTCTGACCTCATAAATCGATTGGGCATGGCCATCCATGGCCACGTGGCTGAGCATCATCACATCGGACCGACGGTCCAGGAAAGCACCACTGAGCCGCGCTTGGCCAAGCTGCCGACGGCGCCCCGGGGTGTGCAGGCGAAGTCGGCTGAGCTGGATGCCCCATCCAAACGGGTAGCCCAATGGAAGTCTGTAAGTGGAGGGGACGGCGTAGGGTAGTTGACACTTCTTGAGGATGTTCCTGGGTAAGAAGCGTAAGAAGATTAAAACAAATAAATTCTCATTTCAATGTTTCTGGGTTGGCAGAGAAACAACTTGGACTCTGCAGGTGTGAACTTTTCGAGGTGATTCAACCTGTCGAGGTGATCTCCCATATTCACTCAAACATTGGATGATGATACGATGCAGGAAGATGCCATGGAAGTGGATGTGCGGACCGCAAGATCAGGCAACTGGGTCAATAGAACAATACCGAACATGCTTAACACGTACTAGCACCTATATACCTTACGGCGTCTCCAATGGAAGACCGTAACGCTATACCGCTAAAAACTCCGTGGATCTCTGCAACAAACAACCCCTTTGAAGCTCCAGGTCTCTCCAGAAGCTCCAGGTCTCTCCAGGTCATATACTTCACACATATCATCCAATATCTAATTGCCCCGCTCCACCCAGATCGCAAACGCCGCCGATCGCAAAACCCCCCCATCCACCGGTCATCCACCGGTTCCACCGGTTCCGCGCAACGTCCGGTGAAACCCTTTTGGAGCGATGGCTCCAGGTGGAGCGGCGCTACAACTTGTCGGGCCGCGAGGTGGAGATCTTCCGGCTCTTGGTCGCCTGGGCGAACCCACGCCGCCTCGTACGCGTGCGCTCGTCTGCGGACGAGCGGACGCGCTTTTTTTTTGCGGACGCGCGGACGCGTGTGCATCGGACGTATTCGGACGTGTTTTGAGACACATTTGGGCACTGTGATGATCGAGAAGTGTTAGATTGTAGACCAGGAGTGGCCTAACCCAGCAAAGTGCATATAAGCTGCTTAAATTAAGCTTTATATACTGCATGTTTAAACTATTAAGCGTGTTTTGATGTGTGTTTGGTTTCTCCACTGAACCGGGTGGAGACAGGTGATCCTGGATTTTTCTGAGAGAGGAACTGGAGACCTGGACGCGTTTGGTAGGTCGAGCCTTCCCTGGTTCATTTTTGGTGATCATGGGTTGTATAGGGTGACCTTCTTCGGAGAGGGAGGGGTCGAAGCGGGTCTATTAAGTTAAGTCTATTATAGGGCTATTTGAGAGTTGGGAATCGCATTTGGTGGTTCCTTTTCGTTTTTGTTTTGTTTGGAGCACTTTGAGTTTGGACCCGCAGATGTTCTTGCGGCAAAGCTGTGTGCAAAGCTGTACCTTCGGCAGTTTACATGGCAAGGAAGAAGAGGGTCGTAGTTTGGGCTGATGGATGTGCAATGATGACGATGACGATGATGATGAGAGGCCTTCCGACATGTCAGGAGCTTGGCTCCTTCCAATCGCCGACCTTCCGCGCTGCTTCACATGCACATCCCATGTCGCAGCTCAAATCGCAGACGTGACAGCTCTAAGCCGAACCTACACAGCTCACCTGAGCCACCCAGGGAGAAGGCCAGTTTGGCATTGCATAACCGCCCAAGCACTGTCCCAAGGATTATTTGAGCTGCAGGGCTTGCAGGGGGGCCATGGGATGCCCGCAACGCAGCTTGGACCGTCCACCGGCCACTCCCATGCTCACGTCGACCAGAATTCCTGTCCTCCAATCGTTTACTGGTCGTGAGATGGAACTATAGAATACCAGCAGCTTCCTCGCAGGAGTGAGCTCCGCAGCTTCCTTCCTGCAGCTAGAGAAAGTGAATCTGTCCAGCACACCAAGGTCGTTGAGCCAAGGTCCTGCGACAAAATGCTTGGACACATACAGATAAGACCGTTTCTATCTATTTTGGGACTACTATAGACTATAGGTCCCAGCATCTCTCAAATTCTAGCCGCCCATGCCACTGAGGTGGTGCGAGAAAGTGCTACTTGCCGCTCCTTGTGCCGCTTCCTCTCCAGCCATAGCGGCTCCGACGGAGAGTCAGCCTTGTGCCCGGGGGCCCGGGTGGTGAGGCCATTGCTGAAGAGCAGGGGAAAGTGGTATGCAGTGGTGTATAGTGGTTGGGTTGGTTCTGCCGGTTCTGCACCAAATCATGAGAGCGGTCGATGGCAGAGGAGCAACTCAAGGTGAGTTGGAGAGAAAGCCTAAGCACGGTGGGAACTATTTGGAACAGCATTTGGTGTTCTTTCCCAAAAGTGCATACTTGAGCCCGATCCGTTGGAAGATCCCAGATCTATTTATATAAATACTGTCACTTCAAGACCGGCTCCACGTGTGACGTGTGACACGCGGCACGCCCCAGACCATCCATGGGACTGGAATATATACTCTGAAATATCCAAGATACAGAATGGCCGTGGCCTTTCGCTTACCTGAAGGGGCAATATATATATATATATGACTTCTATAGGGTGCAGTATATGCTTACATTCAACCACCTCCAACCTTGGACTCCTGAATTCCACCACCCCCAACTGGTCTCGGTCCGGCCCAAAAACGGTCGTGTTGGGGCGATCGTGGGCTGCCCGAGACCTTCAAGACGCGAATCTCCTAGTACACGGGCACTCCAGGGATTGCATAATGCATAATAAGCTTTATATAATTAGGCAGTTATATACATGGCATGCATATAATCTCATATAATATGTTTGTTGTGTTGAATCTGTAGACATGGAGTGTTTGGGGCACGGTGGTTGCCTAAAAACAAAAGAACTGAAACAAAGAAACCCTGCAGCAGCGAGTGAATGGAATGGGCATCGGTGCTTTGGGATGGGCATCGGTGCAGGTTGTGGTCAGTCTCTCAACCGGAGCCCCTCAGGCAGCCTGTGCAGGAGCTCCAAGCTTGATGTCCAGGAGTCTCGGGGTCCATCGCCCGACGAACAAGGCGGAACGTACTGCTCAGAAAGCTGCGTTGTTCCACCAAAAATCACCCATGCGCGCTATGTTGAGGTCATTTGAGGTCACTTATCTATAGGCATTCTGTTTTTTTGTGATTGCTTCCCCCACTGGAAAGGAACAGACGGTTAACCTTCATTTTCTAGGGGCTTTCTGTGAAAGGTTAACCCTTCAGGGAGTCAGGGTTTGGTGTTTGTGATGCCACAGGGTACCATGGGATACCATGGGAGCTTGTTTGCCAACACACAGCAACTGAGGGGTGGAAGCCTGTGGTGATATGGGGGTAGGTCAAAACCTGGAGCCCTGGTCCATCATGTAGCGAACCAGCTTCCAGGTAGCTCAACGACCTTCCAGTATCCTGGCACTGACCCACAGGTGACGGAGACGGACCGGACCTATTACATTCCTATTACTATCATTGGACCATCATATAGAATCAATATAGACCTACACCAAGGCCCCCGGTTTGGGGTGGTTGATGGATACCCCTTAACCTCTAAGGAGCTATAATTAGACACCCCTTAGGGGGCCCTGGTATGGTGAGTTGGACACTTAAGTACCAGAGATGGGCCCTCTCGAGATCCTGATTCGGCCACCTCGGGTCAGCTGAAACCTTCTTCGATCCCACCCCCCCCACCCCTTCGATCTCCCTGTCGACCACGCCGCACCGCGCCCGGTCGATGCGGTCGAGGACTTTTTACAAGAGAAGAGGCCCTATGTGACCGAAGGCATCGTTCGAATTCAGGACGCTGGGCCGACTCGACGGGCCGAATCGACGGGCCGACCTCGGGGTTCACCACCCCCCCGATGGGTTGGGGGTCTGCTTCGGAGATGCCTCAAGATGAGGGCTTAGTTCGACAAAGGAGGAGGCCAACGACCATCAGTTCCAGGGAGTGGGGGTGCCGAGTTTGGTTCGGAAGGTGGGCAAAGATGGGACTCAACACCACCCAAGCTCCATGTGAGTGCAGCGCAGCCCGTTTGAGGACGGCTATGGGGACACCAAAGAGCCGAGCATCTCGCCGGAGGCGGTGCATGCCTTGCTTGGGAAGGCGGGGGGGCGCCGGGAGGAGATGGAGAAGCCGACGGTGACGTCGCTACGAGCTGCCATGATTCTGGCATAATCCTGCGTCAGAATCCTGCAAATAAGCATGTTTGGTACTATAGAATATTATAGAATTATATATAGTTATACTCTTTGTTTCTTCCTTACAAAGTATCACTCGCACCGGATGTTTGATTTAGTAGTAGTCTACACACGTTGTCTGTTTGTGGACGAGAGCTGTGCAACGGCGACGGCTTCTCCGGACACCAAGCGTGCAGCGCGTCGCCAGCCGCCCCAGCCAGTTCCGTCCAGCCGCGTCCGTCGATCGTTCATGGCAACTGATTTGGGGTTCTGCGGGTTTCAGATGAGCCAACAGAGCTTGAAGAACCCTAGTTCGACTATCCCAGTTCTGGTACCCCAGTAGTGTCCAAGGTCACAAGTTCCACCTCTGTTGGTTCGGCCCACAAGATCGGTTTTTTTCCGTCGGTGACCTGTCCTGTGTGGAGTTGCCCCTCTCTCTGAGTAATTACCACATGGTGCAAGTGACTGATCATCTTGATCTCAGGGCTTCACGTGTTGAATCCTTGTTTGAGGACCTCACGACCGAGCAGCGCTTGAAGCTCAGCTCCACTGCCATCGACGCGGTCATCAAAGGTGCCACATGCTGTGCCGTGCCGTCGCCGTGGGGGTGTGAAGATGGATCCCTTTTTGGGGCTCCAAAGATCTGCAGAAGGGTATAGACATAGTTAGACCATCCAAACATATCCAAACCTAACCCCAAACACCGCCATTTGGAGCATTAGGGTGTCATTGTTCCAGTCCAAACCTCTCCAGACGACGCCCGCAGGCGACGACACCGACGACCGAAGGCAGGACGCAGCAGCAACCGAGGAGCGCGGCAGCGTGGAGAAGGAGACGGAGGCAGTGCCGGAGACCACCACCGAGGGACAGCAGGCGCTGGGACAGCTGGGACAGGCGCTGGGGCTTTGGTGGATGGTCCGATGATTTATTGGTTCTTTCACATCGGTCCATGGTTGGGTCGATGGTTCGCTGGTCCGATCTATGTTTGATTGATGTATTGAGTAAGATTGCTCATCTTCGGTTGGTGGGTCTGGGATGAGGGAGTGATTTCGACGATTTCGATTGACAGTGGTGGTTTGATCCAAAGTTGCAAATATCGGTTTTTACAGCTCCTGGAGCCCGACCACTCTGCGTAGCAAAGGAGCTTATAGGGCTATGATAGGGCTTAGTGTCGGTAGGTTAGCTCCAAGGTGTCCTGACTTTGACCCTCAGCCAGTTTGCTGATGAAGCATGTCCTGCTTGGGACAGACATTGACAGATGACAGTGCATGTGGTGTTGAAGCTTCTGGGGGCAGTTTGCCATGCTGAATGAGTCAAAAGATATGTCGGAACTTGGAAGTGTTGCAGAACATGCAGCCATGATAAGTCAGGAACAGGGAGTACTGTACTCAGTTTGCAAGGTCAAGAGAAGATCCGGAGTCTATGCCTACTATCCAACGCCAAAGAACTGGTCTCACTTATTGCTCGATACTGGTCTCACCAGGGGCCCGTTGTCAAGAACAGAACAGAACAGTCTTACTGCAATGCCGACTTGTAAGTAGTTCAGACTACTTGAGCTGAAGCAATCAAAACTTCTGAAAGGGTTTCACATCCATACCATCATGCATGACATGCATATGACATGCATTGCAGCATCACATCTCACTTCGACCTTCAGCGGATGTTGCCCTTGTCCCTGATTCACCTGGTTCTATGAAGCGCCCTGCAGCTCAAAAACAAACGCTTGTCAAGAAGCCAGCGGCCAAGCCAAAGAAGCCATCCAAACGAGTGCCCAAAGAAGACCTGTTGCTGCAGATCCTTCTCATCTCAGGACAGAAGCTGTTGCAAGTCAAAGCTCCGGCGACATGGACCACAACAAAGCTGAAGAAAGTAGTGACGGAGGAGCTTGCAAATTCAAACCGCATGGAAAGCCTGCAGAAGCTGGTCCACGTGGGACGAGATGAGCCAATTCCAGATGGTAAATCCTTGGAAGCCGTTGGCTTAAAGGATGGGTCTGAGATCTATGCAATCCTGCACATGCCCGAGTACGAGGACGAGGAGGCGGAGGATTCGGACTGGTTGGATGATGACCTGTTTGACTTGGACTTCGTGAGACCGGCACGTGGAGACTGGGATGCTTGCCACGTGTGCGGTCGGAACCGCGGCTGTGACTACTACGGTGGTGAATGCCGAAGTTGCTACGATGAGCACTAGTGGAGACCCCAATGGATTGGGGCTCCAAACTGTTTGGACCTGCGAAGCAAAAAAGACGCCCGTCACCACGTGATTTGCCAGAGGTGGGCTGTGTTTGCATGTTGAATCTTGATGGGGTTGAAGTAATTCCCTATCAAATGAGTGGCTGAACCCCCGATTCCATTTTCACCCCTATGAATCTTGGGCGTTTTGGCCGAAACTGCGCAGTGGATTTTTGGTCAAGTGCTTGCTGCAGAAGGTTGAAACCGGAGACTCCCACTCACAGGTCATCGTCCTTCATCACGATGCAGAAGCAGGTCCAAATAGTTCTGGCTCAGACTAAGGCCCCACTAGTTACCAGCCCTCCAGGTCAAAATGTCATTTGAAGACCCTCCCGGCGAGGTCCAGTAGAATTCGGGAATATGAGGTTCAGGGCCCCAGCAACCCACAAAAAGACATCGTGTTTGTTCTTTTTTCACCTGCAGCGCCCGACAGGACTCCGTGGCATCCGAGCCACTGGGCAAAAAGAAGTGACGGTGCAGAAGTGACGTACATTCATTTGTTGAAGGTATATAGGAGAAATATGTTCTAAGTGTATGTCTTAGGGTATAATATAATCTTGAATGACGCTTGATTTAGAGAACCCACCCCAATTTGAAGACGAAACTCTTCTTCATATGGGGAGGATGGGGGGGGTGATTACAAGAGCCTACACGGCTGTGAGTCATGGCGCTGGGACACCCTGGGATTTGTCCAGGGAAAACGATCAGAGAGGTCGACCTACTCGACCTACTAGGGATTAAGGGGTCCCGGTGCCACGACTCACAACCACATGATCTCATTTCCAGAATGGATTCCAGGCCAAGTCCCAACGAAGACCCGGGGACAATGAACAAAACACCACGTGGACCACGTGTTAACACACCCGTGCCCTGTGGTCTGACACCCGATTTGACCGCGGCGGCACGCCGAAATCACCTTGGAACTCAGGAGCGCGGAGGATGAGTCGGAGTTCCAACAGCCCTACAAGGATTCGCTCGACTACCTGAACGATCAGCTTCTTAGACGTCGAAGGAAAAGGGGAGAAGAAATGTACTGAAGATCATTGGACATCTTTCAAAACATCAAGAACTGCTGTTGTACAACTGCTGATGTCTCCTCTCAATCACTGATGTTGTTAGACACATCCAAGGCAACTCTCACGGAAGAAGGTCCATGTGCTTACCTGCAACTACTTTCCAGAACTGCCTCTTCGAGTCTAGGAAGCCCTTAGAGTTGTTCTAGTTGTGTTCATGAAGCCAAAGCCCAAGAGTCCCAGCAGATTTGGACCATCTTCGACCATGCCCCTATTATCGGCCCTGCACCAAGTCTAGGTCGACCTTGCATGGAATAACCTTCCTGCCTTCCTCGCGCGAGAGAAAAGGCATGTTGTTTTTAATAGTGTACCGACTCAGCACATTTGCATGAGAGAAACAGCCCAAAGATACCCCTGGCTATGTTCTATGTTTGCCCATGGGTGCTAGAACCCCCCCCCCCCGAGTCTAGCCGTTCTATGTCTAGACGTCCAGAGTCTCGCCTGCACAATTCCACCGCTGCTATGGTTGCGGAACACCGCGCGCCGGGTCGAACGCCTCGAGGTTCAGCCTCCTGGAATGCGAGATTCGCATCGCCGAGCACCGGCGACAAAGCACCAAGGAGGACGTGGGTGTCGAGGAGCGGGGACTGCCCCGTCGCGCGGACCGGGACCTTGGGTGGCCGGACCGGTCGACTTGATGGGTTTGCTTGGGTGAGGTGGAGAGTGATTTTCGCCCCAGAGGGTTCAATCATGTACTGACTTTAGGATTTTAATTACTGTAATAGTGGGAGAGTAGACTGAGAGGCTCGATGGCACAATGCCCCAAAAGGTTCTACGGACCCCCATTTTTCAATGACATGCCATGTTTAATCATGTACCTGGACCCGACTTGAAGTACCCTAGAAAATGGGACATGACCCTATTAAAAAAACAGGTACTTGTACCTATTTAACTTTGAGACTCCAAGTATATAATCTACGGGGTTGCGTTATTTATATACGCTGAAACCGCCACACACACATATACAAATATGGATCGTTTGGATGATTGGATCCTTTCTTCATCCAGACCCCAGCACTCATCCCTGGCCCCGCCCTGTTTCCCCGGAATCCTCTTCAATTCACGAAACCATCAAGCAAATCCATCCCAAACCCCCCATGTTTGCTCTGCTTGTCCTTTCCCAGGCACGACCCTTCTTTTCGAGTGGGTGGGTCTCCCCAGACAATCGACAGTCCGGAGTCAACGGGTCGGCGTACCCAGGAGCCATTCTTACTGCGTTCCCGGAAGATCAACGTCTTTGAGCACGAGGCGAAGCGATCCTCGGCACGGAGGTGAACCGTTGGCGGCTGCGATTCGGTGTGAACAGCCCTTGCCATTCGGTCCAAAGTACTGGATGGTAAGGCCTTTGGAACTTTTGTCAATTGCACCGACCTCTCAGTATAGTTTCAGGTGTAGTTTCACATTTCAATCTCGGCTGCGTGCACAACCATGGACCAATGGATGATATGGATGCGTGTCGCAACCGAGGAAAGCTGGCCTTGGCGCGGATTCACCACCGATTGAAGCTCACCAAGGAAGCAGGTTTGGAAGTGCCGCGACTGGAAGTGCTATTGCAGAAGACCAAGCGCCTCAGCTGTCCTTGTAGTTTGTTTTTGTTTGCCTGCGTTCAAGGATTCAAGGCATGCAGGGTGTTCGGCGGGTTTCACAATCACCGTGAATGAAAGGCCACCATGGTAGCCATCCATCTCCCGAATTGATATCCTGAAGACGTTTCTCGAATCATCTCGAATCCAAAGTCCAAGGAAGACTGTATTTGACTATATTGACTATTCCCTTGCAAGCGAAGTTGGTTTCGTGTGATGTGTGTTTCAGGCTCTTGCTGTGGGAGACAAACTCCCTCCCTGCGCCCCCCCTTGCGTGGCTTTGGGGGATCACCGGGGGCGGAGGCCGGGAAAACGGTTTTTGTGGGGTCACTCCATTTGACCTCTCGCATGCAGGACCAATGGTATGCCAACAAAGCAAGATTTGTAGTGATTTGATGTGATTTGTATCCAGCAAGTCAAGTCAAACTGAAAGGTTTATCATAGGCATTTCTAGAATTCTATGGACTCTATAATCTAAAAAATGCCCTGGAGGCTGACTTCAATAATGGAGTATAATTAGTAAGCTATGGGGGAGTCATGGTTAAGACACTGGCAGTGATCCTCCAAGTCATGAGGTTGGATGATTTTGAGAAGAGTGTGGCAGCTTGGCAGAAGTAGAGCCACCACTTTCTCATCCGGAGAGCGGATATGCAGACACATTTTTTTCTCAAGTAGTTTCTTTCTCACTGCTTGACAAGGGTGTGTATATATATGTACACACACAAATATATGTATATATATATAGCTACATCATATAACATCAAGCATTTGAACTTTGACACACTTCATCAATTGATATAAATTGCCAAGAGGAAGCTGCCTTAAGCAGCCACCTTAATGCCATGAGCGTTTTGTTTGAGTTCCCTTCCATGTCATTTGTGCATGTGGAGCTGGATTCGTGGGGCAATGTATACCGAGAAGCCGGTGATCCAGGTGATCCAGCCACATCCAGTCCCGCGAAGACCTTCAATTTTACATGCTTTTGGAAATTCGACTGGTCCAAATGTATGCATACATGTATACATTGGCATGTATAAACTTTTACAGTGCTTTGGCCAATGTCAAGACTTTTTGGAACTGACTAAAAACATATTCAATTGGTCGGTGGCGGTCCCACTTCACGAAAGGTAGAAGGCGCAGCTTCGTAAGGGCTTTATACCAAGCGACGGCTGGGATTTTCACCGCAAAAGGACATTTGGAAATAGGATTTTTTTTTCTAAATCAAACATATTGAGGGCACACACCCAACCTCCCCACAAGTAAGATGCAAGAATAAAGCTGTGATGACTTACTTCTGTTCAAGAGGGAGACATTAGATCAAAGGGAATGTTCCGTTTTCTTGTTCCAGTTGTTTGGAAGGACATAAGTCAAAGTCACTGCGTACCTTATTTTAAGATCATGCTTTCCAAGAGTGGGTGATTTCGAAACAGAACGTTGGAACTGCTGAGGTGGTGATGTTGGTGGGCAACACCTTGTCACCCAAGATCCAAGCCACCCTCAACGTGGGTGAGCGCCGCTTCTGCGTGAACGCGCCCCTGCAGGCCCAGCCCGAGAAACAACATGCACGTCGTCGAATGCATAGGGTTTGTGCAGGGTTCTTCAGACTTACGCAAACATGGCCTTTCAACCGTCATATGTCCTTGCGCCCAAGCCTCGTCTGGCTGTTCTTTGCGATGATGTTGGATTTAGGTTTACCTGGACGCATAGCCTTACTACTAGTAACAAGAAGCTACTAGGGGCTCCTGGCCTTACTACTAGGAACAAGAAGCTACTAGGAGCAGCTGGCTCGGGCAGGTGCGAGTGATCTTGGAGACCTTCTGCCGGGATTTCAAGGAAGAGGTGCAGAAGAGAAGCATGGCGCCACAGAAAAAAAGAAACGCATGGTGTTCCCAAGCAATGGGTTCGGGTAGCGGTTTTGGTCTATTGCCCTTCTTCCAGGAGGTCTTTGGCAGGTCTCATGTCCATTTCTGTCTTTGTGAGGGAGAAGCATCTTGGCAAATTGTCATAGCTGAAGCCCCAAATGACTCCGACGCTGAACAGTTTGTTTTTTTCTGTGGAGACCCCGTCACGAACCCTCGACTTTCGGAGAAAAACAAGCGTTGGATTTGGATGTGCACCGTGAAAAAGCAGGTGAAACCCTTGTTCATTCAAAATCCATGATGGATGTACCGAACTGAGGAGTGTACTTCTACAAGTCCAGCAGGTTGGCGAGCTGCCCGGATCGAACTGTGCCGAACATGGCGGAGCGGCGCGGACAACTCCATGGCGAGGAGGTGCAATTCACTGAAGGTTGATGGAAGACATCCCGCACCACCTAAGATCGGGGAAGCTTCACTAAGTAGTTGTTGTGGTGTTTTGCTCAAAGGCTGAGGACGGAGGGAAGCCAGTCGCACATGTAGCTCTTCCAGTCCCCGATTGGGGTCGGAACCTCCAGTCTGACCGGTCCAATCGTTGAGTGCTCAGGGCGTCGTGGAGCGGGTGAATGGATTTGAGGTCCGATCGATGATTTGTTGGGAAAGGAGGTCCAAAAATGCCCTAGGGATCCAGTCGTACCTTCTGAGAAGGTACGACTGGAACCTCCAAACCTACATAGCAGCGTCTCCAAACCGATTTTTTTCGGGGCTTAGGGACGGTGGCCGACACGAGCGAAGCATGAGCTTGAATGTTTGAGTTGGTAGAGGTTGGCAAACTTAGACTGCTGTGACGTGCTATTTACATCTATTTTGCTATTCATGAACACATTGCCTGGACTGGATTTCCTTTTTGCCATGTATCCAGATTTGTCGTGTGTTTCATGTGTTGAAGCTGAGTCTCCAAGCGAAGAGGATTCTTCTTGGCGGGTGATTCTTTTGAGCCGGATTTGTTTGTTGCACGGCCTGAAGTTTTGTAGCCCCAGAAGAGGAGAAGAGGTACCAATCACACACACCAGGAGAAAGCACAGTTGACAGTCCAAGAATCCCTAGGGCTCCAGTCGTATCGAGTCGTACCTTCGTTTCGAAGGTGGGACTGGGCTGGGTGCCTCGAGGGTCCAGTCATAACTTCTGAGGAGGTACGACTAAAGCCCTACGGATCATGCAGACTCTTGATTAGAACCCCCCCCGTTTGAATGCGCGGACTTGCGGACTCGCTCCCACCATCCGACCCATCCGACCCTCGGTTTAATTCATGTGCAGAGTCTACATGACGGTCCACCGTGGAGCTGTTGGAAGCTTCCTCGAGGATTCACTCAGCATCCATTCGACGCAGTGCTTGTCACTGGATCACCGGCCCGAAGGGCGGCCCACTTGGCCCCCCCCAACGTGGCCAAACTCTTGCGGAGCTCCAAGTCGATTCACTTCTAGAATATATACCCCAGACACGACCCATGGGACTGCCATAGGACTGCCGATCAATTGACCCCCCCTGCATATATGACAGTCCCATGGAGTGTCTGGGTACTATGCTTGGCGGGCGTAGTTTCCGCATTTCAGAGCAACCAAGATACTCTCCAACACTGACATGGAAGTGGACAAATCCTTGTGCAGAGAGTAAAATTGTCTTGCAGGGCTCCATTTTCCATATTAATAATGCATCTGAGCACACCATCCACACATATGGACCTCTAGCTGAGGCAGTGGCATCATCCGGATTGGCGCTGGCGCGCGCAGCGGGGCCGCTCGTTGGCGCAGAAAGGGAAGAGTTGAAGAGTTGTCCTCCTTTCCTGGCACCAGGGAGGACGACTACAGGTCACTTGCCCCACCTGGAGTGACCATTTCCGATAGAGTTGGATACTGGATGAATTGGTGTCTGGAGCCGACAACACTTGAGGCATGGATTTGTTTGGGTGCAGCTCCTTGGTCAATTTTTTTGGCTCAAAGGGATCTGGCCGGTGCAAGAGCAAACTTTGGAGTCACCGGGAGTCCGCAAAACCATCCACCGACCACGCCTCGCAGGCCGACCACCTTGGAATTCGATCCACGAAAGACCACGGCAGACCGCCAGAGATTTTTCTTCCCAGAATGCCGCATGATATCAAGCTGAACTCTTCCGATGGAGGCGATGGAGAGAGCCGCAATGGGTGTACCTTATGCAAGAGTCTGAGAACCGCACCCGTCTGGGCGTCCATCGCCCTGCACCGGTCCACCCGGCCTCCCGGCCCCGAAAGCTGCACCAAGAGAGGTAGGTACTTAAGTGCTGTTCATGGGTTGCCGTCTAGGATTCTAGGACCTTCTAGGACCTTCTAGGACCTTGTTAAGTGGTTGTGACCTTCTAGCACCCCGGAGCACCGGTCCGGGAGAGCTATGAAGTCCATCCACCGGCGACCCGGTCCCGCGGACGGCGCGGCGGCCTTCAGGACTTGACGGGGCACACGGTGCACATCGACCGGAGGATCTTGGACTTCGTCGTCGGCCTGGACACCGTGCGGACGCCCCAGACGCCCAGACCGGCGCGATGCGGGAGGGGCGGAGAGCTGCCAGAAGCTGGGTTTCGTAGTTGTTGGGGTCAGGAACTTGGAACCTTGATGTTGGTTGATGTTCTTTTTGGCTCCTTTTGACCTGCATACCGGGGATGGCCAGCCTTAAGTAGGGGACCCGTTTACGCACCCTCACATTTGAAAGAATCGAATGCATACTGTACACGAACTGGATGCAGTTCTTGGTTGAAGTTTTGTTCTATGTATAGACGTCATGATGCATGGATATATTGTAGCAAACAATTCCAATCATATGCAATATATATGCATATATTGATTATATTGGCAAGTGTATGTGACTGTGTATGTATGTGCATGTATTATGTATGTGCATGTATGCTCTCTTCTTCAGCCTGGTCTCCAGATGGTTGTTCAATAGGATGGAAGATCGGTGGTCGACCGATCTTCCAAGCCCTCACCGTTCAACCAAGGAGGTGAGCAGCGTGAGGGCCTAGATTGAAGAACATGTAACATCAATAGACCGGTATGTAATCGACAACCAAGTCTAGACCCAAAAACATCACTGATTATATAAGAGTAAGCAGGTAAGCAAGCAAGGAAGGAAGGAAGCACGTAAGCACGTAAGCAAGCACTGTAAGTAATGTAAGTGGAATATTCGGAATAGCTAATGTAGCAAGTCAGAAGCTGTCCAGGATCACCCACCCGAAGTAGTTGTTGCGCAGTGGAGAGCATCCAGGATCACCCGCCGGTGACCCGAAAATAACGCGGTGTCTTTGACACGTCAGGAGATCAACGAGGTCGTCGAAGGATCCAACTTGTACAAACCCTCGGCGACGCTGGAGCAGTTGGTCTTGCCGGAGGAGTGCGGACGATCCATCGGCCGGTGGAGACATCGCGGCGAAGAGTCTGACGTTTTGACACATGATTCGGAAGGCTGAAGAGTCTGTTGGTGTTGGGGATGCCGAACACAATAGTGGTTGCAGTATCGGATTGTGATCCCTTCATCTCAGAGGGAGCCGTCAGCATCGGAGTTGGTGGTACGACGGGGTGTTGGAAGGTGGGGTCAAGAATCCTTTGCTTGATTCTGGTGTTTGACCAGGATTGGGAGTGCAAACAGCTGCCAGAAGGGGGCATTCAGGGTAGCCATTGAAGGGGGCTGATCAACCACAATATTATATAATATATTAGAATCGAACTATTTTGGATTCAGATTCTAATGCTAAAGCATTGAGTGCAACCGAGATGCCCAGATGCACGTATTGAACAATAACCTGAACTGTAGGCCCAGACAACCATCGGCGGCATGGTTTTGAACAGGACATGAAGCAGGGCATCTTGGCACTGGTGGACAATTTCGAGCAGCCACTGGGCTCTACTCTGCCACATTTTGCCACATCATTGGCCCTTGCCGGTCAACTGGGCACTGATTACTACCCAGTGGATCCCAGTTGCATAGTAGACTATTTCGGAAACGCTGGTGACCTACAAAATAGTGGAGTCCACTGCTTTGTAACCTAGACGCTCCATGTGTTACATGATGTTTCGATGGTTTTAAACTTTCCTAAATGGCCGTCCCATTGGAGTGTTTGGGTATTTGGATGGTAGTGACACTAGCTTTGAGGATTTTAGCAATAGCTCCGAGGATTTAAGAAATAGCCCTGACCTGTCAACAGAAATTAGGCTGATGCAGCTCTTAAGGTAGTGTACCTGGATCTTCCCAGTGACCTTTGATTCCCATGGTTTGAGGTTGTGCTTATGTAAAAGGTCATATAGGGACTCCAAAAAGGTCACTGGGAAGGTGCTGGCACTTGTGTTTTCTGGGCTCTTTTGGGTGGAGACGGGTGACATCTCCACTTAGGCGTTCCAGCTGACTCGCGCGCGCTCCGAGCGATGTCGCCATCGGTCAGAGGACTCGCTCGCGTCCTCCGGTGGTCCACCACCAGGTTCTGCCGCTACCGGAAATCCAGTGGGCTGGACGATGTCATTGCGCACGGCTCCGGCTTGGTGCTGATGTTCTGTGGGCCCAGTGGCACAGGTAAGACCTTGATGGCCACATGGCAATCGATGATTGGAGCAGTCGATGATTGGAGAGGTCCTGACAAGTGTTTCTTCGCGTGGGTCGTAGGTCCTAGATTTGGGAGGGATGTTGCTGTCACCGCGAGATGAGCTGGTAAATGTCAGGGGCACCCGCTGGACACTCCCTTTCCAAGAGATGCCCAGTTACATATGGCACCGTGCCCCTTTCTGGGTGACTCTTTCAGGGAGGGTTACCTTCCGAAACCCACTCACATGGAGCTGGACAGCCTGTTTGGGATGGTAGGGCGGCCATGCTGTCCACTTTGAGGTCAGATCTGTATGCGTGCATGACGACTTTTGGGGAGACCGAAGATGGGAAGAGGAGTGGCTTTTCTGTTTTTATTTGTTTTTCAAGCTCCTTCACCTGGCGCCCTGGCGGCGGCAGCCTGGTTGATCCAATCACCTCAGGGAGCCTCGTTTCACCTGGGGAAGACGATCCCACGAGCTGCTGAGGTCCAGCCTCCCAGGAGATGCTACCTCTCCAAAACCCTCCGAAAAGGAGGTACCTGGTAACCTCGGGGGGATCCTATAGGCTATAGGATGCTATCGGTGTACATCTTAAAATAGGAATGGTACCAGGACCCTTGAGGGTCCAGGGGTGTAAACTTGCGTTTTGCTTGCCTCCAAGGTGAACGCATTGGCGGCACATTTGGAGAAGCGGGTCTTGCTGGTCGCGCGGAAGAAAGGGCGGGCTGAGGGGAAGGAAAGACGCATTTTGGACAAAATGAAATCACGGTGGATTTTCTTTTGTGAAAGATAATTGTAATGTTTTATATAGTGACAGTATGGTATGTCTTGACATTTACCTTTCTGCTGTTTGTTATGTTTTCTGGTGCCTCAGCTTTGTTTGATCGTCCACTTTTCATCATTGCCTTCGCAAACAATATATAACAAAACCATAACACAAGAACATCTAAAACATAGAAGATCAAAACAAACACAAAAAAACAATAATAACAACACATATTATGTTGGAATCATATGGAGCGGTGGGACGAGTGGGAAAAGACTGAAGGGAACGTCTTTTGGGGAAGATGGGGACTGGAAGTATGAGGGGTTGTGGGCTAATCAGTTTGATGACAAAGTTTCCTGGAGAAAGATGATTGCAAGCCACTAGAATCCAGAATGGACCGGAGAGCTTGTGAAGTCTGTATTATTCATATTCTTCACATGAAACATCCCAGCAGGGAGGGATTCAAAGGGAATTAAGTTCGATCTTGGGCAGGTGATCACTGCTGACCACGGACTTCATACCACTTTATGTGTTTTCAAGGCTGTCACCAAACTCACCTCCCTAGTAATTTCTTTGCACTGTACAGGTCTGTCAGCTGAGCCATTCGCAGTCACCCCAAGCACCAACAGCCTCGATCACAAAGAGTAAACCCACAAACGCGGACTTCCAGTGGCTTGGTGCATTGGAGTGTGTTCGTGAAGATGCTCCAAGTAGGCCTCAGTTGTCTATTTGAGAATCTTTGGCCTTTAGTGGACCTATGCGAAGGATCGGCCTTTGCAAAATATCGAGAACACATTTGGCTGCTTGATGACTTTAATGGGGGAGATTCGTGAACCACCGAATTCGATACCAAAGGTATCAAAAGCTCCTGTCCTGGGCATCGATCCAAGTAACTCTATTAGGATTCTTGACATCCTGGGATGGGAAAAACAACACACACGCCCCCATGCAACTGGTCGCGAGGTGAATTTCAAGACCTTGTACAGCCACAACGATACCGGGCTGCACGAGGAGGACGGCTCCAATGTCCTGAAGCTCTTCCGAGAAGCGGTGCCTCGACGGCCTGTGGGGACTTCGGAGAGACTGCTTGGAGGTCCACCACCCAAGGTGAATGAGCAAGTCCGTCGGCCAAACACCCTGGGATACCCTGGGTAAGCCCAAGAAATGGCTGATGTATAGGCCCCTATGATGGCCGTCCGATTGGAAGGGGTCAACGATGGTAACTAGACTCACAAGTCAGTTCACAAGTCCATGTAGAGAGAGTCAAAACGCATCAAACAAGCGCTTGTGAACCGGTCCCTCAGGAAATGAGCGATGCTGTGTTGTTCTTCGACGAGCACCTTGGCCTTGGCGTGATGTTTGCGTGTCGAGCAGCCGAGCGCTGCGTGCGCGCTGCCGGACGCTGCGGCGAAGGATTCGGCCATCAGGTCTGAAGGTGAACATGTCGACTGAGCCTGCAACGGTCCACTGAGCTGCATCCCCATGCTTTGGTACACAGCTGCCATCCCCGCTAGTCGCGACCCCTCCGCCGCATCCTCCGCCGCACCGAGGTGCGAATCCCTCTTCAGCCAGCGCGGCAGCGGTGGCAGCTCTGAGCTCACGGCCCTGCTGACGGCTATGGAGCGCCGCGCGGTTGGGGGTAGAGGGGGATGCTCTCCGAGCGGAGGTGCGAGTGACTCAGGTGCGAGGTGGACTGGAGCTCTTTTTGAGAGATTGGCCCGAAAAGGATCGGAATCCCGGGTTGCAAATGGTTTGGAATGGCGAGGAGTGGTCCTGCAAAAGTCGTGAGTTTGTCCTCTATCATGGTGTTTTTCCTTACCGTCCTGGACCATCCTGGCCTTTGGGCCGGTCTAGTCGTGGGGGTGAGGTTAGGCATGCAGCCTCACTCCATATCTAGGTCGTGCCATGTTCCCTTGTGGATCACCTTTGGCCTAAAAACATGTCAACCCCAGACACTCCATGTATGCCATATATGCCTACATTGACCCCCCTGGCACCACCCCAATTGATCGGCAGTCCTATGGCAGTCCCATGGGTCGTGCTTGGGAACAGCATCAAAGCCACATCAGCAGCCAGCGATCATGGTCCATCACCAGCCACATGTAGCTCCAAAGATCCAAAGTGGCTGCGATTCGACCGATGGACCGATGGACCTGGAGTCTTCTCACAGCCAGCCAGCCAGTGGAATGGCGATTCTGTTTTGGTGGAGTTCCGGGCACCGTCCCAACCGGACTCGTTGGCCACACTAGTGGACTCGCCTCAGACATTCCACTCCCAAAGACCAGCAAAGCAGCCAAATGCAAATTCATTCTGGGTCGGGGGCATCTCACAAGATGCTTCGTCACCAGAAACGGTGTCTATCGAACTGGACCCGTGTCCGACGGCTTCTCTCTATACTCGCCCCGCCCGTCGGCTTGCTTGAACCGCGAGGTTATGAGGGCATCATCTTCTTGGCCACGAACAGGCCCTTCGATCTGGATGAAGCCATGTACCGGCGTATCACCTCGGTCTTCACCTTCAGCCCCTTGGGTCGGAAGCCAGACCGGGGATGGAGGCCATGCGAAAGACCCATGGCGCGAGTGTGGTGAGGTTCACAGCGAGCCGGTGTAGCATCGGTGGAGCCGTCCGCGCGAGGGTCAGTGTACGACCCTGCTAGGAGGTTGACCTCTCTCTCTAGATCATGTTACCGTTGTTGGATCCACCAGGATCTCTGTTATCCACCATGAATCGATCCAGAGTCCTGAGTCCCGCATCCCGAGTCCTCCATGGGAAGCTTTGCTTACGACCCACCAAGCCCCTTACGAAACCACGGGGAGGTCACTCGGTGACCGGGGTGCCTGGTCCGGTGCATCGCAGGACGCAGGTGGAGCGGGGACTGAACCGACTTCAAAGGTATGTGCATCTATACCATCGGAATCCAATACCTTCTTTTTTAAGCGGTGTATGAACAGATATGTATTTTCTAAAAGACATATTTATATTTTGGGGACAATCTTGGCCCTGGAGTATACAACATAAGTAAGATTAAGTAAGAAGGTATTTGGATTCCTTCTGAATTCTGCATTGTGGGGCATTTTAGGGCCATAATCAATTTTAGGCCCATCATTATAAGGGCAACCTGCAATGATATTGATCACCTCAACCAACCGGGCCCCGACTTTGAGCCATTGCTCCCTGGTTCAACCCCATCTTCCCCTGCACTGGATTGGAAACCGACTGAACCTTTGTCCACATAAATGCCCATAAACATTGGGAATTTACATAGGGAATATGAAAAATAGATAGTTTTTTCCCGAATGCGTAGCGAAGGGTTCCCGTTTATAGTTTGGGGTCTGGGGGTTGGAGCTGTGTTCGCGTGGCTTGCGTCGTGTCGTCGTCTGTCGTCGTCTCTCGTCGTTTGTCGTCGTCGTCGCGTCTCAAATTTGCTGCCATTGGGGGAAGCTTTTGCAAGTGACTTTGCATGGATGTGTCACGTGTCAGTTTGCGCCGCTATTCCATTGTGATTTGCGTGACACGGACATGTCGCGCAAGAAACGTGATGCACTTCGCTGCACAGGCGCAGCGTTTTGTGAGATCCGCAGATTACGGCGCAGCTCCATTGGGATTAGCGTTTGGAGAGTCGTGTTTTTGGGGTGTTGGATGTGGCCGTGCCATTGGGATTTGCGTTTCAGGGTGTGGCATCGAAGCTCTGTTTTCGTGACAAGTCTCAGCTGAAGTGGCGATTTTGATGGATGGGAGTGTGCTCTGAACGGGTCGAAATCATTCCAAACGTGTGGTGTGGTGCAAATTTTTTGTTGAAGCTCACATGCGATGATATTGTCACTTTTCGTGGCAGGCGCAGGACTTCGTGCGGGCTTTGAAGCGTGAAAGTCCAATTCTCGTGGCAGGCGCAGGGAATCGTGAGGTTGCGAGGTGTGAGGGAGGTGACATTTCGTGGCAGGCGCAGTACTTTGTGCGCGTTAGACGTGTGGACGGGGAAAGATTCGTGGCAGGCGCAGGGAATCGTGAGGTTGTGAGTTGTGGTAGAGGTGAATGTCGCTGTCCCATTGGGATTGGCGTGTGAGCGGATGTTGTTTGGAGGGGCTGGAATCGCGAAATTGCTTGGCAGGGCTGCGTGATGTGTGTGCTCCGATGGGTGTTTCCGCTTGACTTTTGGAGGAAGTCTCGTACGAAACGCTCGTTTTGCAGACTTTGACGTGTGAGTTTTTGAGGAAGTCTCGTACGAAACGCTCGTTTTGGAGACTTGACGCGCAACCCTCTGCGGAGATCGTGCGTGTCGAGTGCACCAAATGCAGGCGAGAGTGCGATTTGTCCCATGCGCGCGCAACCCTCTGCGGAGATCGTGCGTGTCGAGTGCGCGAAATGCAGGCGAGAGTGCGATTTGTCCCATGTGCGCGCAACCCTCTGCGGAGATCGTGCGTGTCGAGTGCGCGAACTGCAGGCGAGAGTGCGATTTGTCCCACGCGCGTGCAACCCTCTGCGGAGATCGTGCGTGTTGAGTGCGCGAAATGCAGGCGAGAGTGCGATTTGTCCGGTGGAGCTGGAAGCTGAGAACTGGCGACCTTGTAGTACAACTGTAGTACGTGGAGTATCTGGGGAGCTGGAAGCTGAGAACTGGCGACCACTCTGGCGACCTTGTAGTACAACTTTAGTACGCGGAGTATCTGGGGAGCTGGAAGAGAGTCCCACAAGAGTGTCCCGCAACAGTGTCCCACTAGAGTGTCTCAAAAGAGTGTCCCTTAAGAGTGTCCTACAGGAGTATCCCACAAGAGTGTCCTACAAGAGTGTCCCACAAGAGTGTCCCACAAGAGTGTCCTACAAGACTGTCCCACAAGAGTATCCTACAAGAGTGTCCCACAAGGAGTTCCACAAGAGTGTCCCACAGAGTGTCCCACAAGACTGTCCCACAAGAGTGTCCTACAAGAGTGACCCACAAGAGTGTCCTACAAGAGTGTCCTATAAGAGTGTCCCACAAGAGTGTCCCACAAGAGTGTCCCACAAGAGTGTCCTACAAGAGTGTTCTACAAGAGTGTCCCACAAGAGTGTCCTACAAGAGTGCCCCACAAGAGTGA